CCCGGGCACGCCAGCTCGAGCCAGCGGTCGCGACCCGGGAAGGCGAGGAACGCGAGGCGGGCGGCCTGGCGGACCAGCCAGGGGTGGTGCGGGCCCAGGGACGTGCGGTACGCGTCGCTGCACTGCGCGCCGGCGTCCGGGCCTCCGAGCGTCCCGGTCGCCACCCGGTGGAGGCAGAGCTGGGACCAGCGCAGCGCTCGGTGCAGCAAGAGCAGGATCCGTGAGCCCGAGGAGCTGGCGGTGTCTCGGGGGGCGATCCCGGGGCGCTCCAGCAGTCCCTCCCGCCGCTCCCACGCCACCATGGCCGCCAGCGAGGAGTAGTGCGCCGCCTCGGGGCCGTGCACCCGAGCCTCGAGAGCTGTCACTTTGGCGAAGGCCTCGCTCGTGGCGAAGGCGAAGATGGAGCCGAGGGGAGTTAGGAACCTGCGTGTTCCGTGGCGGGCAGAGCGCGGTGGTTGGAGAGGGGGCGGGGGACTCCGGGAGGCGGGCGCCGGGTGAGGGTGGGGGGCGCGAGACCGCTCACCTGACCAGCGCCCTCCATCCGGCTAGGTACTGCGACAACGCCACATCCCCTTCGGGGTCCAGACTGGCGCGGAACGGCCACATCACGCGGCCCACCACCCCCTGGGGGCCCACACATTGAGGCTCTTCCCCCTCGGGGGCCTCCAGGGGACCCGACTGCCGCGGGACCTGGGGGGAGACACGGGCGGAAGGGGGCGGGAGCAGAACCCCTAGCCTGCTGGGCCTCCTTCGCCCCGCAGCCCAGTGGGGCCCTGCAGAAATGACTCCTACGGCTGGCGTCTCTCCTGCTGTACTCGGCTTCGGACGGGAGAGGGGACACGAGGAGCAGGACCCACCCGTCACCAGATCCTCAGCCTGGCCCCGCTCCCCGCGATCGGGGCCCCACCCGGAGCTCCCGGTCCTGGCCCCGTGCCGAGCATACCTGGACAGGCGATGTTCCCTCGGGAATGCACGACTGTGTCCCGGATCTGCAGCCTGAGAGGGCGCCTGGGGAGGGGTGAGGGCGCGAGGAGGGGGCCTAGGTCCCCAGCGCTTGGCTTCCCGGTTCCTCCCAGAGCCGATGAGGGAAGGGACCACTTACGAAAGCTCCAAGCGCAGAGATAAAGAAGCAGCAGCAAGAGGACCGCCAGAGGAATCGCGTGGCGGACCCAGCTCCGCGAGGCCAGCGGAAGCAGCACGACCCCCACGGCTGCTGCTGGGGCCATCGCCCCCCTCTCCAGCCCCAAGCCAGCCCTTGTCCCTCCGCCTTGGGAGAAGCCTGCGGTGCCCTAAGTTGTTAAGGGTTAATAATTAACCTACTAAGTCCCCTTCCCCTGTGCTCTTTGCTCCAGAGGGCAGCATCCCAGTGGAGAAGGACAGGATGAAGAGGATTTGGTGTTGGGGGTAGGGGGGTTCGGCCGCAACCACTGGTCTCTGCGTTTGCCTTCCGTGTAGGGCCAGGTTGTAGTAAGAGGGAAGAGGGGCCGGGGTGAGAACCAGCTCCCCCACCGAGCAATGGGTGTGGGCCCTACACTAACTGGGCTTGAATTCCCACCACCATAAATTGAGGACAATAAATAATAGGTACTTTATCGATCTCATCCGAGGATTAAATGACAATGTATGTGCAAACACTGTACATGGAAAAGCTGACCACAATTGCTCCATAAATCTTAACCTATGAAGTTCAAACATAGGGCACCTGGGATCCAGGAAGCACCCACTTCTAAATTCACAATCCCGTCTCCAGGGGACCTGTCTTGACCTGGATGCTTTAACCGTTTACATTTTTGTGGTTTAATTCCTTTTAAACTCCGGATTGGTTCTGGTTCTGCGGTTATTCATTTTTTGCGTGCGTGATTTTTTTTTTTTTTTAAAAGTAATCTCTATGCCCAACATGGAATGAACTCATGGCCCAAAGATCAAGAGTTGCATGCTCTACGGACTGAGCCAGGCAAGCACGCCCCCGGCATTATTCTTCAAACCAAACTTTATTAACTGTTTCTGCATCCAGGCCCTGTAGTAGGCCTCAAGGGGACAAAAGAGCCTTCACACAGCTCAAGGTCCATTGGAAAATGTATCGTCTGTCTCCCCCACGTGGATGTGGGCTCCGATGAAGACAGGGGCCTTGTTTTACAAGGGTTTCCCAGTTGCTGTTCTATTTGCAGCACTTAGAATATTGCCTGGGCCCAAATACATTATTGCTATATAAATATATATTGGCTAAACACAGGAAAGTGTGTGGAGAGCAGGCAAATCGGGTGGTGTGCCCCATGACAGATGAGCCATTGTTTTTTCTTCCCAAATTAGGAGTCCACCTGGTGGTCAAAGCTAGGAAAACATTCAGGGGAAGGACCCAGGAAGCGACAGAAGAAGCAGCATCTCTTGTTCCTAGGGGCTTCTCAATCCCCTGTCCATAAACTTCCTAGAATTGTTCCTGTCTGTGTATACTTTCTTTTCCGGGGAAGGGGTACCCCAGATTATCTGGGAGTCAGGGCCCCAACCACTAAGAAGATCCTTTCTAGCTCCCACAGTTTCTGGATTCTTGCCCCATCTCTCCCTCTAATGCTCCCTCTAATCCTGGAGGTCCCTAAGGTTGCTGCTGACCAATCCTGTCCAGCATTTCAGAGCATCACTTCCATCCCTAGACTTAGGCTCTCCACTTCCCAGTGTGGGAGCTGGGAGTTTCCCAGCTTGCTGACCGTGACCTTAGACAAGTTGCTTGCCATTTCTAAGCCCTGGTTCCATCACCTGCAGAATAAAAGGGTAATCCCCACCTCCTATACCATTTATGAGGATTGAATAACAAGGCCTGCAGGAAGTAACCACAAGCCATGGCCTGCAGTAAATGTTCAGCAGGGGGTGGTTTATTCAACTGGTCAGCTCTCTCAGCCCCTCCTCCAGCGCTGGGAGCCTCGGTCTCCCTGAGCAGAGAATGGAGTCTGCAGGGTTCCCGGAATGGATTAGTTTCAGGTGTCACCTAATCCGGGAGGTCCTTCCGTAATCAGAGCCTTCAGAGCGGCAGAGGGGATATAAATCGCGAACGGGGCCCAGCTCACAGGCTGCAGAATGGAGAGGGGGGCCGGAGCCCAGCTGTTCCTCCTGCTGTGGGCCACTTGCTGCGGACACGCACAAGCCAACCACCCGAGCGACTACGGTTCGGTCATCGACGTGACCAATGGGGGTCCTTGGGGCGACTGGGCCTGGCCCGAGATGTGTCCTGATGGATTCTTTGCCAGCGGGTTCTCGCTCAAGGTGGGGGTTCAGGCCTAGGTCTCCGAGGAGGGAGACGCACGACCCTGTGCCCGGGGACACAGGCTGGCAATCTTTTAACTGGTCCTTGTCCCTCTGCTCCTCTTGGCCCAGGAGGAGCCCCCCCAAGGCATTCCTGGCGACGACACTGCTTTGAACGGGGTCCGACTGCACTGCTCACGCGGGAGCGTGGAGCACAACACGCACGTGGTGGAGTCCGAGTCTGGAAGGTGCGGGACAGGGGCCAAGGGCCCCCCAGGATGCGGCTATGCCCCTTACCCTCTGTTACATGCCCACCCTCCCTGCTAAAAGGTTCCTCCAGGGCTGTGGGGCAGTTTAGAGCTGGGGAGTGGGTGGAAGACCTCCCCTCCGCCCCTCGGTGGAGGTCAGGTGACAGACCCCACCCACCCAGGGCCTGCAGCACTGGCTGAGGAGTCCCCAAGGCTGGGTCGGAGTGGGGGTGGGGAGGACCCAGAGGCAGCACTTCTCCCCTTCCCTCGCAGGTGGGGCGCGTGGAGTGAGCCCCTGTGGTGTCCCGGCGGTGGCTTCCTCGTGGCTTTCTCGCTGCGCGTGGAGGCCCCCCAGACCTACGGGGACAACACAGCAGCCAACAACGTTCGCTTCCGCTGCTCAGACGGCACGGAGCTGGAGGGGCCCGGCCTGGCCTGGGGCGACTTTGGAGAATGGAGTAAGCCCTGCCCCAAAGGCATGTGTGGTTTGCAGACGAAGGTGGAGCAGCCGAGGGGCCTCTGGGATGACACTGCCCTGAACGACGTGCGCTTTTTCTGCTGCCGCAGTTAACGAGGGCGCCCGCCCCGGGGCCGGTCCCACCGCTCGCTATTAAAGCTTCTCTGTCTTGGCTCTGGTCTGGCTTGTTTCAGGGGTAGGAAACTGCGTCTCCTTGCCTTCCTCCCAGCCCGACACTGGGCCAGGCCCAAAGTCGGGTTTGGGCTCAGGCGTCCCGGCAGGCCACTGAAAGGTACGGACCCATAACCCAGGAAAATGCCCTTAAACACAGTTCTGCGCCCGAGTTAAGGAAGTCCATGGCTTCCTGAGAGTGTCGGCAGACACCTCGTCCTCATTAAGAGCTCAGACTGTTTCCTCTCTGAACTACCAGTGACCTCAGATTGAGAAACTTCTACCAAGTTAGGCGACGATAAAGCTAAAACCTCCTAAGCTTTCATTTTCTAGAGCTTAAGCTGATCTCTTTTCCACAGTTTCCTTCCTTTCCCTACAAAAGTTAAAGAGTGGCTTTTCCACGTACGGATTTCCGCCTGGGACCTTTGTCCTTGCTGCTCCCTGCCTGGAACCCCTCAGCTACCCAGATGGCTAACCCATTCACCAGATTTCGGCTCCAATTTCACTTTCTCAGACTTCACCTTATCTTAAAAAGTCCCTCCAGCAGCCAATACCTATCCCATTACCAGCGTGTTTTGTAAAAAGTGAAGTAATCTATTGCCTTTTCAAAAAAATGTACCCATCTTAGACCCTGGGTTCTTAAATTCTTTGAGCGCACAGAACTTGCCTGTCTTGTTTACCACCGTATTTGAGCGCACACCGACAGCTCAGTAACTCCTTGCTAGCACTTGCAGGGGTCCCAAACAGGAGCGCCCCCGAGGCCCTCTGTATCTGGAGGCACCATGTGAGACGCGCACGAGAGTTCACAGGTTTATTTCCAGGGCGGGGTGGGCCAGGCGCGCGTCCAGGAGCGGGCAGGCCGGTCAGCGCAGCCTCAGCGAGGGGTGCCCTGCGGAAAAGAGAAGGTGAGGACGCAGCCAGGGAGCACGGAGCCTCTCGCTCCAGCTCCAGCCCTCGCCGCCCCACCTTCTTCCTGCAATCGCCGCAGAAGACACCGAGGGTGGCGTTCACCAGCTGCACCCCGCACAGCACGATCTCCAGGCACGAGGCGGCCACCAGCAGCGAGAAGAGCGTCACATTCCAGGAGACGACGCCAGGCGGCTCCACGCACAAATCCCACAGAGTACGGTTCTGCAAGTAAGAGCCTCTGCGGGGTGGGGGGCAGGGTCACGTGGGAGAGGTAGGGCACTCGGAGTGCCCTCCCTCCAGCCCCGCGCAGGCGCCGAGCGGGGTTTGGCCCACGTGGAGGTGGCTCCCGCGAAGGCGCGCCCCGTTCCCGGTTCCCCGAGTTCCCCATCCAGGTGGGAAAGGCAGGGAAGGGGGGCGCGCGAAGCCTTACTCGGTGTCTCTGAAGTGGTAGTCCCACCGGCTGTCCATTAAGCATTTGGGTCCAATTCGGAGCCCGGCTCCCGACACCGAGAGGCAGTAGATGGCCCCCAGCACCCCGAAGGCCGAGGAGAAGATGGAGCGCAGCATCTGGATGCGCAGTGCAAGGGGAGGTGAGCGGGGCCGCCTCCTCCCGCGTGCGCGCACCTTAGCTCGCCCGGCTCCAGGCGCGGGAGAGATTCGTCTCCCCGCAAAGCCCGGGGCTGGGCCTTAGCCGCCCCTACGAGCCTCGCGGAGGTTCGTGGGGGTCATGGCGCCCTCTGCAGGCCCACTGAGGCCGAAGTTGGGGGGCGAGGGAGGGGCGAGGCGGAGCTGGGACTGGGCGGGGGGAGCTCCCGTGGCTAGGGGGACCGTGGCTTCAGGTGTGGCTCTGCGAAGGCCGGTTCAGAGACCCAGCCCCGAGTCCTGCCCGCGTTTGGGGCTTACCCTGCAACGATTTCCACAGCAGCCCGCACCGCAACAGCCTTTGCCCCCTGCCCGAACCGCTGCGATGCCCGGACACAGCACCTGCGGAGGAGGGTCGGTGTGACAGCGAGCCCCCCTCCCCCCCATCCTCCACACCTTCCGTGCATCGTGCGTGGGTGCTCATCTTCCTCCTGGAGCTGCCTGGGATGCCCTCAGCCCTCTGGACCATAGGAAGACCTCGTCTCCATTACTCCCCGAGAGCCTTTGGGTTCTACTTTATTTATCATTATCTACCTGCCTACTTATCTGTGTTCACATTGCAGCCTCCAGGAGGGCAGGGCCCAGTGTCATGGTAGCCTCCACAAATCTTGGCACCTAGTAGGTGCCCCGCTGAGCTGGAGTCAGGGGGCCTGGGGTTAAGGCCCACCTGTGCTCACTTCACACTCCATGAATTGATTCATCTCTCTGGGTTTTCAAGACCTACCTCACAGGGCTGTGCTCAGGATTTAATGAAATAACAGGTCGCCCTGAGGTTAAGACTGGCTTGGTAACTACAAGTCCCCTCGGCAGCAGGAAAGGTCAGTGGTGTTGGAGTGTCTGGTGAGCTGGGATTAGGTGGAGGGGGGAGGAGGATGTTAGTGAATGCTCTGATGGGAAGTGTAAGGACCCCCAAGGTCCAACCCTGGTCCTTCTTGTCCTTCTTCCTCCTGTGGCCCTCCCCCCAGAGCCCATCCCTGTCCTCTGGGACAGTACTCACCCCCAGATTCAAATCTACCTGCTGAAGGTTATTTTTATTTCAGTGTCTCGGCTCAAACCAGCCAGCCACATACTGACCTCGCAGGTCCGCCAAAGTTCCCCAAATTCACCTCCCTGTGACTTTTTTTGTCTCCATCGGTGTTTATATTCTTCAGGTCACCCACGCTAGAAAACTGGAATCCTTTACACCCAGCCAGCCCTCAAGGCTTCTCGACTTTTCCTTTAACGGTTTTCCAATCTGTCTGTCCTTTTGTCTGCACGGTCCCCTCCCCTATCACCTTCTCAGCTTCTCTACCAGTCGTCTGTATCTCTTGCTCCCATGCGGCTGAACACTCCATCCTCCATTGCTCCCACCGCAGTGAACTTAGCTTTCAACGGGGGCTTTTCTCTGCCCAAAGCCTTCAGGGTGTCCTCAGAGAGTAGCCCATCAAGACTACGCTCTGGGTGGCTCAGTCGGTGGACCGGCCGCCTCTTGGTTTTCGGCTCAGGTCATGATCTCAGGGTCGTGGGATTGAGCCCCACGTTGGGCTCCGCGATCAATGTGGAGTCTGCTTGGGATTCTTCGTTTCCTTCTCCCCCGTCCTTCCCCCCACTCACGTGCACACACACGCTCTCTCTAATAAATAAATAAATAAAGTCTTAAAACAAACAAACAAACAACGACTGAGCTCCAGGAAGGCATTCGAGGCTCCTCGCTTTGGCTCTAGCCTTAATGTCTCGCATGGCGCCAGGTTCTTCGCCTGTCGCCCACCTCTGGAATTCCACAGCTTCTTGATCTTTGCCTCCCTGTGCGGCCAGTGTGGTACAGAGCGCACCAGGCAGCATTTTATTCCTCCCTAGCGGTGGGGCTGAGGGTTTTGATTCTGTTATCTCACGCATCGTGACCTCATAGGGAGCTGAGCGGAGTTCTGCTGCATGCTCCCTCTCCTCTCTTCCACGCCCCCTGGCAGGTCTAGAACCAGTGCCGGCCCCTTTGCTTCGCCTCTCTGGGTAGGACACTTAACTGGGAAGCTCCAGGATCCAAAGACACCTAGAATTGCCTTTGGGATTGACCAGTTTCGAATGACCAGCTACCTCTTTGAGATTTCTACTTCCTTAAAGTGTTTAAGTTCCTTTTGTCGTCTGAGCTCCTCTGTCTTACTGTCAAGAGAAGGGTCACAGTAAGCGCGGAAGGAAGCACTGAGTTTATAGCTCCCATCTGCTTCCTTGGCCCCTGGCCCATTCCCAGCCACTATCAACTCTCCCGGACAACCACAGTGACCTCCGTCTGCTCTTACGTCACCAGTTCCCCTCCAGCTCTTCCTCCACACAGCAACCAGGGGGACCTTCTAAATCCAGCAGGGTATGGAGCAACTAAAGCTCTCCTGTTTTGCTGATGGGAATGAACTTGGGATAAGAACTTCAGAAAACTTTTTGGCAGTATCTATCAGCACTGAATACTTGCACACCTTAAGAATTAACAGTTTCACCCCCTAAGTATCCATCCAACAGCAACGCAAACAGAACTTCACCTAAAGACATTTACAGGAATGTTTAGAGCAGCATTACTTGTAACAAACCCAAGCTGCGGCCTATCTAAAAGGCCATCGACAGTAAGATGTTTAAATTAATTGTGGCCTCTTCACACACTGGAATGCACCAGAAATAATAGACTATGTGTCTACATAATGATACGGAAGAACCTCACAAACATATATTGAGCTAGAGAAGCCAGACACAAAATTGTTATACTGGATGATTCTATTTATATAAAGTGCTGAACAGGCAAAACTAGCCTGCGGGGCTAGAAATCAGGGTAGTGGGGACTCTCGTGGGTGTAGCGCCTGGTGTGGGAGGCCTGTCTGGGATTCTGGTAATGACCTGTATCTTGGTCTGAGTGCTGGGTACATGGTGGGTCCACTGTAAAAATTCACTGGGCTGGGGCGCCTGGGTGGCTCAGTCCTTAAGCATCTGCCTTCGGCTCAGGTCATGATCCCAGGGTCCTGGGATTGAGCCCCGCATCCGGCTCCCTGCTCAGCGGGGAGCCTGCTTCTCCCTCTGCCCCTCCCCCTGCTTGTGCTCACTCTCTCTCTCTCTCAAATAAATTAATAAAATCTTTTAAAAAAAAGGTATACTCTCTTGCCTACAAGTGAAATTCAAAGGGGATAGAAGATGATGTTTAGGAAAAAAAATGCTATAAACAGTGCCCACTCCCAGCATGCTGCTTTGTTTCCTTGGTCGTACCTACTCCTGTCTGAAACCATCTTGCTCATTTGTTTACTTTGCTCACCGAGGATTAATCGAGTGCCCGTCAAGTACAGGGCACTGGACTAGGCAGGTACCTGGCACACGGAGCCCGCGAAACAGGCAGTCCTTGCTCCCATGGAGCGCCCATTCCTGCTTCCATGATACTGCGTTCTCCGCAGCGGGAACCCAGCTCCAGGGAGAGCAGGGACGCGGCCTGCGTCCCCGGGGAG